AATACTATTTTGCTGAGGGGTGTAAGGAATAATTTTATGCCTAAGGATCCCATCATCTTTTCAAAGTCGATCAAGTTAAATATTGCAAAATTTTAGATCATTATCTGTTCTTAAAACTTTAATCTTTTTACCAGCTTGATTTTCAATTAGAGTTTTTCAAATTTTAAACTTTTCAAATGTGTCAGATTTCTATTTAAAAAGAATTATCCAAACTTTTCTTGAAAAATCACCAATCAAGGATAGAAAGTATCTATTGCTACCTTAAGTCATGATAGGTGATGGGACCCACAGATTAGTGTATATATTCAAGAATAGATGCAATTTTATGCTTTCCAGTATTGAAATGAAGCATATGTTGTTTACTTAAAGTGTAGTACTCACTAAAAGAAACTTTAGAAATGACAACTTTACCAAATGCCCCCTTCTTACTTAAAATGTGCAGGCCTTTCTCACTAACACGCGCTAACTCGCTATGCCATTTTAGAGTAGCATCAATCTCAGCACTAGAATATTTAGCAGTGTGACTTAGAACAACACTAGCTCTAGTGACATGTATACTATTTCTTTTGGCACCTTTGAAAATGACAAGTGAACCTTTGATCACTTTAAAATCGCCATTTCCAATCCTGCCTTGCAGGTCTATGTCATTAGATTATCCAACAAAATTAAGTTTCTATTCAAATCGGGAACATATCTTACCCTTTCTAGAGTAAATGTGTATCCATTTTCATAATTTAAAGTCATACTGCCAATTCTCTTAACTCTACATGCTGCATTATTGTCCATAACATCCTCTCCCCCATCAAGATCCTTAAAGTCTTCTAACCAAGGTTTTCTAGAAGTCGTATGAAAAGTGCAACCAAAGTCTAAAATCAACTGTTGATTTTGATCCCTATTATCTGCATAATTTGCAGTATTCAGATATGAAGTGGAATCTGTCACAACATAGACATCCATAGCCCCATTATCTAATGGTTCTACCACATTTTCGCTCATCCACTTTTGTCTTTCTCTGTTCATTCTTTTTCTTATAATAATCTTTTATAAAGTGTTATGTCTTTCCACACCCATAACACTTCCTATTCAGATGTCTAGACTTTCCTTTCTTCATAGAGCTATTACTTCCTTGATGATTTTGACTGCCCTAATTATTCTCTTACCTAGTAAGTGATCTACCTCTCACAAACAAACTATCAGATTCCTTCCCATGCCTTTCAGATTTAAGTTCCAATTCTTTGCTTTTCAAAGAATTTAAAACAACCTCAGGAGTTAAGGTATCTCTACCATATTTGATGGTATTTTTGATATCTTTATATGCCTTAGATATGTAAATTAAGAAGGATAATAGCCTTATATTCCGCATATACCTTGTTCGAAGCATTAGTAATATCTTGTACCAATTTATTAAATGTATTAAGATTATCATCTAAGTCTATGGACAAGTCAACTTTAAAACTATATATCCTTTCTAGAAGGAACAATTTGTTAGGCAAAGAACTAATCAAGTAAAGTCTTCTAATTTGTCCTACAAAGCCTTAGCATTATCAAACTCCCCTACTTTCCTTAATATTTGACCAGAAAAATGAAGAATGATATAGGTATAGGCAAGTTCATCATATTCAGTTTTTTATTAATAGTCATAGTTTCAAAAAATTCACCAGTTTTTACCTTTTAATCTTTCTGTTAAATAAGGACTCCTCTCATTTTTTACTATCAAATGGTGAAATCTTAATTTCCATTAAAAACCATAAGTTCAAATGTGATAATTGTCATTTGAAATTTTTAACCAATACAAGAAAATTTTTATAAGTTTGGTGTTCAACAGAAAACCACAGATATCAAATAAAATTTGACAATCACACAGAGTCACAAAAAATATTAAGTATCAGCTAATATTCAAAGAAAAAAGAAATAACCCAGTGATCAATGTAATAACAGAGTGATAACATATAGAAAATCTTCAAGTTCTATATGTTCAAATTCAACAGGATTCTATGAAGCTCAAGACCACAGGTCAAGGCTCAATTCAAAACACAAGAAACAGGAAGAGAAGAAAGGAAACATGGGAAAGAACATAACAAAGATCAAAAGAATAGGCACATCCAGTTCAATTTAATCGAAAACAAAAGTAGACAGACATATACACTTAGTATTAGAATGCAAAGATTAGGGTTTAGAGAAGAAGAATACATACACCACCAAAGTGGATAAGTAGTTTTGTCCACTGACTTTGAGTAACACCCAAGAAGAACCTAGAAGATTTCAGATCGAAGTCCAAAAAATCAAGACCTGACCCTTCTTCCTCAAGTTCAATCAGTAAATCACCAAAGACCTTTAATTCGTTCGATTTCACCAAGGATTTCCGCCAGAACATAAGATCCGTCAATGACCGGATCTAGGGTTATACCCAACAGTCAGATCTTATCAAATCTAGTTATAAAAAAGATCAAGATCGAAGGAATAGAAACAGCCAAGAAAGCCCATTGCCGATAACTCAAAATGAAATAGCCCATAACCCGAGCCCAAACTAAGGGGACACGTGTGAAGCTTTGGATCATTGATCACTTACTGATATCAACGATGATGTGAATGAATATAAAAGGGTCTTGAGTGGTTGCCCTAATGTGTGATTTTTCATAATGTGTCTTGTAAAACTCTTTGGATTCTCTCCTAGTCTCTTTGGTTCTTTCCGTCTTCATCGTGTTATCTCAAAACATCTAGTTTTGAGGTGATTCTTTGTGAATATTGAGTCTAAGTGATTCACTAGCACCAAAGTATCATTAGCTTTATCGGATTCAAGTCGAGAGAATATCTTTCTATATATAAAAAGTGCATATTTAACGGAATTTGTTGGTCTAACGGAAAAACTAACGGAATTTGTTGGTTTAACGGATTATGTAACGGAATTTCTTGTTTTAAACAGGCAGCTACACCTTCTTTCAGTGTTTTTATCATAACTTTGTATTTCGATAGCGATTGAGGCGATTCAAAATACGTTGGAAAGTTAACCCATCTGGCTACAACTTTGATTCAGACATCATTCTCCAATTCGATCACTTTCTATGCCAAAAATATGTCTCAATATAACGGACTATGTAACGGAATTTTTTGTTTTAAACAGGCAGCTGCACCTTCCTTCA